TCACCCCAGTCTGACCAGTACATAAAGCTGTGAAGCACAATTTATGTTATATGATGCACTATAGTACTGTGTAGTATCACTCTTTATTATGATTAATAACTAACAAAGGCTACCTAAGTCAGTTATCAAGACATGAAGTAGCGGATAGGTCTGCTCTCTTAAAAGAATCAGGACAAATACTCACCCAGAGATAGGATCTACAGCAATAGAAGCTGGCTCTCTCAGCTCAGAGTAAAACAAAACCTTTCTTTTTTTGCCATCTAGGCTAGCCACTGAAATGGTCTTTGCAGTTGAGTCAGACCAGTATATGTTCTTATAAACCCAGTCAATGGCAATTCCTGCAGGGCTGTGTATGTTGTCCAGGATTTTGATGTGCGTTCCAACTTTATCACGGGTATCAATAGAGGCACTGGAAAACAAGAATTATTTGCTTTCAACTGCTTCCTCCGTAGATACTACCCCTTGGCATGCCTCAGCAAATACTGCACACTGATCTCAGGCAGTCAATGCAGAAGATGCATGGGTGACTTTCCAGAGTGCCTTTTTGTACAATTGTAGCAGCAGTTCCTAGGAAGTGCAATAGACATACACACTGCTAGTTGTGGGAACTTGCATCAACTGTACTTTTTCTTTAGGACACCAGGAATCTAGTTCTCATTACCAGAGTCTAGAGAAATATCTTGGGTAAAACATCAGTATAGGGAAGTCCACTAGGTTCAAAAACTGAGTCTATTTACCTGAAGATTGCTTTTTGGCTGAAGTCAGCCCAGTAAAGCTTTTGCTCAGCAATATCAGCATCTAGAGCTATAGAGTTTCTCAGCTGCTCTACTAGCTGAATGTATTCTTTCCTCTCAAGGCCAATCTTCCTGATATCCCGGCGGTTGGTGAAAATGAGACATGGTTCCTTCCCTGTGAAAAGAGTGTATTATCTGTACTTTTAGATATCCAGTCACGTCATATTCTTTAATGAAAATTTCTAAGAGTCATCATGTTTGGTATTTGCCATCCACACTTGATAACCGATGCCGACAGATCATGGCTGTACCATACCTCACCCTTTTCTCCCTCCAGAACTTGATGGGGAGGGTCCTCCTGCCCAGGGAGCAGAGACAAGCAGTTTATGTCAGGCAGCTTTAAAGTACTGTATCATGGCATCATGGTATGTGTTAGGAGTGTACAGATCTGTACAAGTTATACTGGTAACAGCACAACAACTAGTGTCAAAACCACAGTAGCATAAACAGTGCATCACTTACTAGTTCATTTTAAAGTGGTGATATAAAAGTCTTATGCTAACACTCACCCACTGCCTTGCACACCCCAGTAGCAAGATCCATCTGATAGCCACGGCTACATTCACATTTGTAGCCCCCTTTCAGGTTGATACAGATTTGACTACAGATACCAGGGTTCTGGCATTCATCGATATCTGTAAAAACAATGGTTTAGTTTATTCTCACCTCCAATACTACCAGTAGAGTCCACGCTAAACTACTAGATACTTGCCTCCACAGGTTCTCCTGTCTAGAAGCTCAAACCCAGCTGGACAGTCACATTCATAGCCAATAACAAGATCTCTGCAGATATGAGAACATCCACCATTGTTCAGCAGACATTCATTTATGTCTAGAAGAGAGAAATGGGCACCTTCTGAGACAGCACACATATTTAGTCTTACAGTATTAGTCATGGAGCACTTTACCAGGTACTCATCCATTTTCTAATGATACATGCCACATCTGAGAAAACATTCTGGCACTTGAAGTCACATGCAAAAGACCCTCCTCAAATTCATGTTTGTTCAGTCTGATCTGTGTTACAAGTAGGCAGCAAAGATTGAGGCTCCTGAAAGTTCATGTTTCTAATGCATTTAAATGCCTTCTGGCCACAGACAAGTCATCCCAACAGCCAGTTTAGCTAGGATAAAACCAGCCTATTAACTAGGTTGGTTTTGACTGTATTTTTGGCCCCAAGAACTGCAGATGGGCATTCCAGGCTGACATCTGATAGCTCAGAGGCTGTATCCAAGTATATCTAGTAGTCAACAATGTATAATGAGTTTATTCACTTACTACACTCCTTGAGGGGCTCATCACTCCAGTCCTTGCAGTCTCTCTGCTGGTTACACACTTTATTGACATCTATGCATTCTCCACTTTTGCACTTGAATTTGCCAGGTCCTGAGCACTGAATAACTGACATAATGAAGAGTGTGAGAGCAACTACCAACTTCAATAGATATCCTGCAAAGACTTTATTCTTGCTTAGTTCCACTTACCATTGTTGCAATTTGCTTCATCAGTGCCATCCAGACAGTCTCTCACACCATTGCACTGCCTACTTCCATGGATGCAGTTCCCATCTTCACACCTGAACTGGTCTGGTCTGCAGGTCCGAGAAGCTGAGGACACAGCCATTATAGACTTTTACCCCTGAGGTTTACTGAAGGAAAGAAAATGAAGCAGGAGCCAAGCAGTGCCTCCTAAGAGAAGGACCAATTTAACTTACGGCAGTTGACTTCATCACTTCCATCCTTGCAGTCAGGATCACCATCACAGCGCCATTTTTTGTGGATGCATTCACCGGAGCCGCATTGCACCTCACTGGAAGAGCACTTCACAGGAGGTGCAGGCTGGCGGCCACATTGCTCTAGAGATTCATCTGAGTGGTCTGAGCAGTCAGCGTCATCATCACACACCCAGCTGATGGGGATGCAAGTGGAGGTTTTGCACTGGAACTCATGAACTCCGCAGGTAGGAGGTGCACACTCTAGCTCATCACTGCCATCGCTGCAGTCATCTTGACCATTGCAGACAAAGCTCTTGGAAATACATTGCCCACTGTTGCATGTGAACTCTGCTGGACTACAAGTCACATTGCCTGGGGTAATAGGAGCAGGAGAGGTTAGCAGGTTATCACAAGAAGGCTGACTTTTGTATGAAGGTGTTTTGTTATGCAGATTTTTCCATCAGCAGTCAGCTGACAGAAGATTAGCATCCCATATAAAGCTCTTGGAGAGCCTAACTGACTATCTACAGGACACCTGTGACCCACACAGACCGTCCTCCTTGTCTTAGGAGATTATGAGTGAAAGGCACTGGTTTTGAACTACTGATTGAGAATAACCTTCTGAAGTAGCTAAACTGTTCTGTGCTTCAGATTGTGAGCCTTTCAGAAAACAGGCTCTACCCCTGTGAACCACAGACAGAAGGTAAAAGGATTGCTAATTGTAGAATACAGAGTAAGATTAAGGAAGCCAGATGGTCAGCACATACTGTAGTTTGAAATTGAAGTGTTTTGTGCTGGTCCCCAGGACAGTAGTAGCTCATTTGCCTGGACCAGTGGGGATAACAGATCAAGATCTTGCACCAGTTGATCCTGTGGTTTAAGCACACCCACATATCTTATGCCAGTACAAATTACACTGGTTTAATAGCAGTGTAGCTAGCAGCTCAGTATGCCTAGACTGATAGTTTGATCAGTTTCATTAGAAATACTGTCTGTAGATTTACTTGTCAGATTAAGGCATTTGTTTGCTGAATAAGGCATCAACTCCACAGATACATAGCAGAATTCTAGAGACCTGTGTCTCATTAGGCCATCCAGATAAGGTGGTTCTGATGCAAGTCAGCCCTGTGACTTTGGTTACAGCAAATTTGTCTCAGAACACCTCAGACAACA